GCGGGTCGCCCCGGGGAAAAACTATCAAGTATGCGGGGGGGGAGATTCCCCGGGAAAGGGGCCCCCCCCCCCCCCCCCGAACCTCTCTAAGCGAGTGGAACACCCCATGACGGCGTTCCTTCTCTACGCGTAAGCCTTCGACCTCGCGCTCGTGGGAACGTGCACAGCCCCACCTCTCGATCCTCCGCCTCCTCCCCAGTACTCGGCGCCCCCTGTTCCCTTTCTCCTGCCCAGAATTCTTGAAAAGAACACAACAGCCCTCCCGTAGTTGTAAACCGCTCCAGGTGGCCGAATTTATCGACTCGAGCGGGAAGCCTCACCTCGAGCTCGTGGGACAGTGAGGCCATCGATTTGTCGAGCTCCCGTCCTCTGCCCTCGGCCATAGACCTTCGGGCAGACTCCTCCGCCAGGGCAGCCTCAACCTCGCCCTTCTTCGTGTCTAGCAACTCGCTTTCGCAGGCAGGGGGGGGGCGGGGATGAGCACGAGGGAGGGGAGGACTCGGTGTGTACCCCGTCGCTAATCTGTTCTTGTCAAAGAAAGAGAGATTGCGTCCGCATCAGAACCTGTCGACCAAACACGTGTTTGTCGTCTCCTCGAGAGAGAATTCGTACCCGTAATCACATCATGTTTCTCGAAAGATCAATAAAGCATCGCCTCATCACCGCCCCTCGCAGTACCGAAAAACCATCTTGTCTGCAGAACCGATGAGCTACGATTCGGGGTCATGACCACCCCTTGAGACATCAGTTGAGCCTACAGGACAACATCCTCCACAGAAGCTGCAATACTACCAGTACCTGCCCAGCTCCACCTCCATCTTCCGCCTCTTAAGCAGCGCCACTGTCTCCGTGAGGGCGGACAGCTCCGCCTTTCCCGTTTCGACCTCCGCTCGGAGGGCGGACGCTACGGCCTGCAACGCACGTCGCAAGTAAGACGGGTGCGACGTTGTCGCGTGGGCCCGTCCGCACCAAGGTAGTCGCAGAGTGTTGGTGTCCGGTGCTCTGTCGCGTTAAGTGGACAGATACCGATTTTTCTACCCCTCGCTTCTATGCCGTTTTTCACGTCAAGCTCGTCGTTGGCATTTCACAAAAGGTGGTTAACAACCGCGCTGCCACGTGCCAAGGCGTGCGTTCGAGGGTTTGAAGAGAGCCAGGTGAGGAACACGTGCAAACACGCTAAATAATCGATGCCAGCAAACGATCCACGATGATATGTAGAGCGAGTATGGTCGGCGCAAGGTCTTTACACCCAGCCCGCCGAAGTACAAACAACACCAAACGAAGAGAAGGTTCTTCGTTGTATCGAAACTTCGTTGTGTTGAAAACAAAAAAACGTCAGACATTTGCTTCGACTGTTCTCTCCATTCAATAGTTCACTCATCTCTCATGAGGTCACGATGGGGACCACGGTACGACGGCTGACACGCCGAGAAGGAAAATCAGAACAGAAACACCGCTGCTGATAAATACTGAGGGCGATTCGTTAGCAGCAGTACTCCCTGCGCACGGTCAACGCCGTGCACGACCGCCAGAATTTGTAGTAAAGTCTAACCCTACACGTGAGCCCTTCACCTGGGCGCGAGAGGCCCGGTCTCTCTCGACCGTGAGGCTTCGCTCGGACGAAGCCATCGCCTCGGAGGCCTCGGCCAAGGCCCTCTTTCCCTGCTCAGCCTCCGCCCTGAGACCCGCCGCCTCCTCCCGGGACTGTCAATAATGTTATTGTTTTTGTGGTGTTTGTGGAAGGAAGGTTGTCCGGTCTGTCGGAACATGCCATGTGTTGGTACGTGCAAAACGTTGCACTCACGAGTGACCTCGCTCCGCCCCCACTCACCCGTGTCTGCTTTTGGGCCGTCGGGGAATCGATCCACACCACACACGGACGACATTCTTTAAACCCCCGATACCTAGATGCGTACAGCGGCACCATGTGTGATCTGTGTTTCCCTTTCTGATATATCGTCGTCTGGAATACCTGATCCAACTGTCGCTCGGCTTCCACCTTCGCCCTAGCTGCCTCTTCCCCTTCTTCGACCTGTAACAACAACGAGCTTGTGGCGTTGGTATTACTAAAATGTTGTTCTGCTGGGATCTCACGTATACATATCGTAAATAGATGCACTAAACATCGGCACTTGTTATACAGCAGTGCCCTCTCATGACCTCTACAGCTGCGCCACCGGTCGTTGGATACTTTTCAGTAAGCCTCCGAGCTTCATCAATGACCCTAGTTCCGCACCATTCTTATCGCCTATTCAGTCCTTGTCTGCAGCCACTATGTACATACACGTTTTCCGCAATACATAAAGCATTGTGTTTTTCTCTGAATATTTTCGGATCAGTTCACCTTCTGGTTCAGAGCCGTAGCCAACTCGTCGGCCTTCTTCTCCCACCGCCGCGCCCTCCCCTCCGCCGCGGCGGCGCGCTCTTCGGCGGCCGCCTCCCTCGACAAGAACGCCTCCTCCCTCGTGGCCGCCACAACCACGGCCTCCTCCGCGTCCTTCTTTGACTCGGCTAACGTTGCCCTGCGTGGTGTCGAGATGCAAGCGGACATGCAAACCATTCGTGTAAGTCATGATGCACAATATGTCTCGCGAGCCTCTCTGCCCGCGTGTCGTTTACCGCAGTAGGTTGTATCAGATTGTGTAGCACAGAGTTTGTTGTTCCATGTGCGCAACTACCCGCAGTCCGCAGGCCGAGACTTTTCGCGTCACGCCGTGCTACGCACGTGCCGAAACAGCGAAAATCCATTGGGGAATCACCTGTCGCTCGATGTGTTTGCTACACATTAGCTATTACTTTGCTCGTTATCGAATGTTGAAAGAGGATAACGTACGGCAAAGCTAGCAGCATGCTGCGATCCGTCTTGATGTCGCAGATCCGGCGCAAGGTAATCTAGGGGACACACATCCGTGAGAGCTAACCCTCTTGTGAGAATTTGACGTACGTCGATGACCGAGAAACTAGCCCAACCACGCCAATCACCACCAACCGGCGTACATTGCTTCCTTCGCTCGCTCCTCCGCCTCTTTGGCCCTGGCCTTGAGTCCCTCCCGCTCCTTGGCCATCTTCTTCACCGCCTTGCGGTATGTGCCCTGGATGGGTTATTGTTGTCGGGTCCGTGTTTGTTGCTGGTGTCGTCGTCGCCGTCGTCGTCGTCGTTGGTGGTGGTGGTGGGGTTGGTGGTGCTACCCGTTCGCTGCTGTGTCGTCTACGGACGTCTCGAGATGTGCTTTTCGTGCTAGTATTTGTCCCTTGTTGTTAAAACGTGGTCGGTCTTCCACATGTTTCAATCTTGAGCTTGACCTAGGTCTTAGCCTTCAAGCCATGTTCGAACTAGGTATTAGTTTTCAAACCACCTTGTCGCTCCAGAATACGTACCTGGCCAGAGCAATCGCCACCCTCTCACAATATACCCAAACAAGCTGGATAGCGGCAAATGCCATTCGATAACTTCCACTTCATTTTCTCCTTTCGGCGTTTTTCTAATGTATTCTGCTTCTTGGGCGGTTCTACATCGCTTGAGGTGAGCGTGCGCACAAGAAAGGAACTTACCACTTCTTCCTTCTCTGCCTCCCTGGCCGTCTCCCTCTCCCTCCCTTCCTCCTCCAGGCGGGTCACCCGGGCCGAAGAACTGTCCCTCTCGATGCGGAGCAGCTCCCCCTTCGCCCTCAGCCTTGACGCCTCGTCGCGGAGCTCCGACGAGACCTTTTCGGCCCGCTCCAGGGCCTGCCTGAGCTCTTGGGCCTGGGGACCAAACACCGCGAAAGGTGGATGTATAGGTTTTACAAGGGTTCATAGTATTCACCGTGGAAACGGGATTTGTGATTGGTTGGAGTAGTGTTAGGCCAATAGTAACGCTGCTGCTACTGGTAATGTTGATGTTGATTGTGATGTTGACGTTGTTTATGACGTCGTTGTTTGTTTGTCGGAATGTTGTTGAGGTTGCGAGCGGGGCAATGCTGTCGTGCGTGAGCCATCGCTGGCGCTCCTCTAGTCGTCGACCTCTCTGTTTTCTGCCCCCTCCTCTGCCTTGCTAAAGGTGGTACCAAGCCCTCTACTTTTCTGCCAATTGTATTCGCCGTCGGGCGTGCTTTGGTGCGTCTCCGCCACCATGGCATCAAACGGGTATAAATATATACCACCTCCACCGTACTCTGCTTCCATCGGACCTGGTCTATGGCGGTAGACGCAGCAGACGCCGCGGCCTCTCTCTCCGTCTGCAGGTCTCTTATCTTCTCCTTCTGCTTCTCGATGGTCTCCGCATGCGAGTCCATGGTGTCCTATAGTAGACGGATCGAATTGATTTATGGATCGATTTCGTTTTTAATAATTGGTGGAGGCATCGCCCGGTCAGCGTCGCAGTGCTTACTTATGCCGGCTGCACCCATATGTTGGACCGGAGGAAACCAAGACGGACAAAATACTGTCTTCTGGCTCTTGCCCTCCTGAGATTCTCCCTGCCTTCTCGGTAAGATCCTAAACTTTGCATCAACCCGCCAGCTACATCCCAGAAATTCTTGCCCTCTAGCCAAGACCTGAACCCCAGCCACAGTCAACCTACCCCCCCGCGCTGAATCCCATCTCCCTGTTACTAGTACTAGAAGGGCCCCCTTTTCTTGCCTGTAGATCGACGAACTCCGCCTTCCGCTTCTCTAGCTCCCCCCTCTGGCTGTGGATGACCCCCTCCAGCAGCTCATCCATGCGTTCCTTCTCGCAGCGGTTCTTCTCTGCCAGCGCCTTCAGCTGGTCGCGCAGGGCCTTCTTCTCTGACTCCCCCGTGGCCGTTGCGCCTCGTAACCGCTCGAACTCCTGTCGGGAGGGGGGGACGGAAGGAAGGGGGAGGGGGCCGCGAATCGAACTGGATCGATTGTTGCGCTAGGGGACGCTCGGGCGAGCAGAAGAAGAGTCACAGGGCGGGGGGGGGACGGTATGGGTTACCTGAAGCTCTTATCTGGGATGGTGGGGTCAACCACAACAACTGTTTATCGCGTTTCTTCTGTAGACTGCTGTGATAGACATTACTTCAGAATTCTCGTTTTTAGAGCGCAAGAAGGGTAGCAAAAGGTACTCAGTCGGCCAGAACAAGTTGCACCCACGGTTCCGTGCGAGTATAGGACACGCACCGCTGTCGTCTCGACGAGCTTGGTTCGAAGATTCTCGATCTCATCCACTGTGCCCCTCAGCGAGGTGCCATTGCCGCCACCGCCGCCGCGACCGCCGCCGCCTCCGCCACCCCCCTCCTCAAGTACCCGGTGAGGCACATTCTTGATGTCTCTAGCCCGCCCTGCGTATCTGAGAACGTGTGCAACCAATCATAACCGGGATCGAGAAGCGGACGAAGATGCGAGGGTTGCAGTTTTGCAAGTTGGGCCTTTTTTTTTCCGTTCGATGGATGCGATCGCTTCTCCCTCTGACACCACCCCATTTGTTGTAAGGACAAGCAGTGCCCGTTGTGTCTGCTCAAAGCCACCGGCCTACGAACGGCACAGGCAAGGGCAAGCGAAGGGGACATGCTCCTGCAGCAGGTGAAAGAGGCAGCTGACCACACCGGCGAATATGTACCCCATCGTCGTACGAACCTCGCACGACGGAACACCGATACTTCGTCCATGTGTTATTTCGAACGCCGAACAACATCGTCGGTCTGAGCGTGGACCGCTGCTGTACATCAACATTACCACGAGACATAAACCAGGCAAACAAACCCAACGATGCAATCGCCCAAGAGACCACCCAGGTGTTCGTGTCGTTCTCAGCAACCCGCCCCCCGAGAGAAAACATCATCAACAACCCGCCAACAGAACCTAAAGATGGACACCTTAGCGACATCATCGTCTGCTGGAAGCACGCCGGCGCTGCCCTCACGGCGCAGACCATCAGCGTCTTGCAGTTCCCGCCTAGAGAGTCCTTCAACAGGTACGTCAGCTTGGAGTTCCGGTAGGGGACGAAGGGCTTCTCGCCGACCGCCCGGCCCCCGCCCGCAGGCGGAGCACCAGAAGACGACCCACCCCCCTCAGCCCCTCCCGCAGAAGAGGAACGGGCGGAAGCGCGATGGTACTTAGAGAGAGAGTTCAGGACGTCGCCCAGCAGGGTGAGGGACAAGTTGATGTTCTGAGCCTCGACGAGCGATGACCCTTCCACCTCGGACATAGAGACTCGCTCTGACCCCGCCAGGTCGATCAGCTTCATCGTTTCCGTTTCAGAACCAATTCAGCACGGGTCACAGTAGGAGAGGAAGCAGGAGGGGCAGGAAGATTAGTGGGTGGAGGAAGGCGGATGATATGTGAGCGAGAGCATCGGGCGAGGAAACGAGCCAATGAGGGCGGGGGGAGGGCAAGCGAGTTCCTCTTTTCTGTGGCCACATCACCTCCCTGGTGTAAGGCTCACCAAGTAACCACCCGGTTTATTTCAGCTTTGGTTGAGCAACATTACCCGTGGAATCACGTGCCCCCCCCTGGCCCAAGTCCCAGACAAACGAATTCACCTCGATGCGATGTACGTATCATCAACAGACACCCACCATGGTGCTGGCTATTCATAACATTGCGACCACCATCCTGAGAAACCTTAATTCCCTCCTTCTCTGCCCTTCTTGGCTTCCGTACTCACCTGCATCTTTCCGATGCTGACACACTCTACGATCGACCTCCTTCTTCCCCCCCCTCCGGCGCCTCCTCGTCTGCCCGCCCCAACCCTCGCCACCCCAAGTGGCCCGACGCCCCCCGCTGCAGGATTGCTACTCCCGAGACCTCCAGACGGAACGGAGGACGAAGGGCCGCCCACAGCGTCCCCCCGTGCTCTAGCGGCCGCCGCCGCGGCCGCCGCCGCCGCCGCCGAGGGGGGGGAGTGCGTCGCTTCTATCTCGAGGATCAGGATGGCGTGGCTGCGGCTGCTGCGGTCGTTCAAGCCCGTGGAGGCCGTCCGCCTGGACTTCGTGCCGCGGGCCACGAGGGCGGCGACGGCGTTGGCGGAGCTGACGGGGACGCGGAGACCTTTTCCCCCCGAGAGAAACACGCCTCTCGAAGGGTGCTCGCGGACCTCGATCTTGGTGGAGGGCGGCGGAGGGGGCATCGTTGTTGGTTGCACCACTGGTGTGCCACCGCCGCCATCTGCTGACAAGCGGGCGCCGCCGTTGTGCGAGCTCTTGCCACGTCTGTTGCCGGAGGTGCCGTCCGCCACGCCTTCCAACAGGTTGTGGAACACGTTGTTGTAGATCTCGACGTACCTGGTGGCGTCCGTTGGTTCAGAGGATCCGAACGAAGACCGGGTTGTGGTGCAAGAAGAAATGGGAGAACGAGTGCTGTTAGCTGTGGTAGTTGAGTGAACAGCAGCCCAAACGTGAAGAACAACACAAAAGGCAAGTTGTTCAATTTCATACCGTTGATCAATAGACCACATACGCAATGTTTCGTACAGGCTGCCGTCCTCAACCGACCCCTGCCCGGCAAGAGCGTCTGGAACAAGAGCCCAAGTTGAGACCAAAGACCAACGCAACACCTAAACCTCAGCTAGGTCCGTCTTTCGTACGTCAGGAAAACCATGAAGGCCTTGTCCGAACCGGCCGCCATATCCGACTCCAGCCGCTCGAACAGCAGCCTTACGGCGCGTGGTAGCACACCGGGGTCCTCGTCTGTCCCACTGATGGTGTGCGTCTTCCCAGAGCCGGTGCTGCCGTAGGCGAATACGGTAGTCGTAAAACCTTGGGCAGATGGGGACGTGTTGTGTTTTCAGGGGATGCGCGCAGGGAAAATGGGAGACGGGGCGGCTCTTGTGTTGCTTGCAGTTCGTGAGGTGGAAGTACCTCTATTGGTCTCCCGGTGCCGTGGTCCGAGCCTGTTGATCCCACTCTTGTGTACGCATGGCAAGCAACGACTTAGCTTCCCTATTTTTATAAGCATAGCCTACATTTGAACGCGTTCTATCGCTCTCCCAAAGGCCTCCAGTCTCACCATCGACGGTTGCGTGCACAAGAGGCTTCACCATCTCGAATACGTCGTCCTGGGTGGAGTCGGGGCCGAACACCCGGTCGAACGAAAAGTCGTGCGCCTGTTGGTGCTGATCTTCAGCCTTCCTCCCGCCCCCGGCCCCGGCCGTAGCGCCGCCACCGCCGCTGCTGCCACCGCGGGTGCTGCTGCTGCTGCTGCTGCTGCGACGTCCAGGGTCCACGATGGTGAGCTTCTGGTCTTCCACGTTCAGGATGCACGAGCCTGCCAAGTCTTTTCCGCCCGCGAGAGCGCCGCCCTCTTGCTCCTCGGGCCTGAGACGAACGATGACACGTACCGATTCTCCGCCCCCTCCCGCGCTGCCGCCTATTTCACCCATAGCCGCAGGATAGCTGAATCACGCAGCGGCCAACCAACACCGACCCTCGCCTTCGACTTGTACTCCCAGAACAGAGAGCAACTTGCCTACACGTACAGCCCGCCGATGCGTCCTTGGTGTTTGTACAGAACGCTACCGCGATGTTTGGCGGGTGTACGCACAGTAGTGCCTCCGCCCAAGGGAATCCCCGGTACTACTCCAGAGCAACGGGTACACTATTGTAAAACCATGGCATTTCTTCGGGCTCAGCTGGGGTGATGTTGTTGTTGATATAAGCTACCGCTCTTGGTGTCCTCCACGAGATTTTCCTGTCCACAACCTCAAAGTGCTGCCGAGCATGAAGGTGTCGTTAGCTGTGGCTTAGCACTCCTGTCGTTGTGTCACCGATTCGCCTTCAGTCTGGGTGCGGCTACCCTACCCTGTCTGATGTACACGTACGTCCACGCCGGGGTCTGGATATGCGAACAGATTTCGATCTGTGAAGCTTCTGGTATTGGATCTCTGTGCAGATAGAGGCTGCCATGCACAAGACACTAACTCAACCTAATATTCTGGTGTCAAACCCCGTTGACAGCGGCGGTTGAGAGCTGTAGGCGAGTAGGCGACGTGTAGAGGAGAGGATTTGAGGATGGCGACGCGGCAAGACCAATGCCGATTCGGGAGGGGCTCCGTGGATGTATTGTAGCACCCCGGTCTATCTCGCATTCAAGCAGCTCAGGACAGGGCTCGCACCCGCCTGATCTTCGCTGCAAGACAACAAGCAAAGGCTTTAGCGGTAGTAACCGCAGGTCGTGGTCAACAGCAGTACCTGGGCCTTGGGGATATGGCGGGCACTACGCTTCGCAGGGGAGCGAAAAATGGACGAGGAAAGGGAGGCTTGAAGCTTGCCGCTGCTACCATGGGCGCCGCCTGCATGCTGTTCCTCCCAGGTGTAGCGCAGGGGAGTGCGGCAGCCGAGGCACACCCGCACCAGGGGAAGGTCAAGGTGAGGCAGGGCAAGGGACCGTGTTTGTGAGCGTGGGCGGCGTGGTTTTTGCAAAGTCTGTATTTTGCTGGAACTCAGGTGGGAACTACATTAGTTATGCGTGCATGTATGACACCTGGCAGGCAATGCGCGCACGATGGGGGGTTTTGTGTGCCCCCCAACACAGGAGTGTGCGCACATGTCACATGCATCTTCATGATGATTTGCTGGTTTCCAATGTTTTTCTCGCGGCTCTGCGTCTTTGCCCAGTGTATCGGAACAAAGTAGGTGCTTTCACGATCATGCTGAATATCCTCGGCAGCAGCTCTTGTCGGAAAGATGGTTTCCAAAGCCTCAAGTTGCAGTTATTGCTTGCTGTCCGTATTCACAGAACACGGAAGGCGATCGTTGTTGTTTTTGAACCTTAACCTTGCAGTTGCCCTGTCGTGCCGACCCAGAGGGTTTTCTCGGACACGTTGCCTGCAGTCTAGATTCCAAGCTGCGGTTGCCCGAATCTCCGCAAAAAACACATCGGAGCATCGAGTATATGTGGGAACGTTGCAAAACCGGGTGCGGCAGCAGTGAGACAGGTACATGTTCTCAGACACCGAAAGAGTCGCCGCCTCAGCGTGCTACATATGCATAGAAGCTTGCTGTGTAACGGCAGTTTGAAGTAGCGCCTTTGTTTCACCGCTGAAAAACACATGGTGAGTTGCTGTTGGCGTGTTGGCGTGAGAAACCGGTCTATCCCATGGGCCAGGACTTTCGTCATGTTCGGTTGACGTGGGAGTCCGCTGCTAATAATCTAGTTATCGTGCGGAACGTTTGTCGCCCCAGTGTCTACAGCAAGTACATGCGGGGTGAGCATGTAAACCATGTGCATCTATGCATATGCATGCAGCAGTTCCACCAAGAAACATACATGTTTTCCAAAAACCGGAATGGATTGAAACGCCATTCTTCGCAACGAAAACGAGTTTTCTGTCTAGACCCGGCTCTGACGTGTACACACCTACACGTGCTGCCGCAAGGGTGTGTGATGGTCAATTGCAGGGTTCGCATGGTTGATTTTGGTCACGATGTTGTGGCTTGGACACCATAATGTGAGATCAACCCCGATCGAATTGCATAAAAAATAAAGAAAGTATCCCTGCTGGCCGTATCACGGTGTAAGCGAGAGCCTAGCGTTGGGACTGAAAAATTCGCTAAATAGACAGCTTTGTACACCTACTGTAACTCAACTTTTTATTGAACCAGACTACTGTAGTTTCCAGCTGATAATCGCCCCACGCCTTTTCCCCCGCTTCGAAAGTTTTTTTTTTATGGCTGTCCACTCACACCATCTTCACGTCTTTCTAGCAGCGTGCCCTACACAGGAAGGCGTGTTTTGCTCAGCAGGAAATGTTACCGCTTTTTTCGATTGGGTACTGTAGTACCCCAAGAAGCTCCCAAGCATCGAACAGCAGTCCCCACCAATGCTGTTGCAATTGTGTCAGATGCCACTGATCGATGACTAAATAGCCGTTGAAACGCTCGTGCTCCTGCCGCCGCCGCTGATATCTTGCATGGCCGGACCAGCCTTACAAGCCCGGCATGCCGGACATCGTGTTGACCAAGAAGCAGCGCACGGACCTCGACGGAGGGGATCTGGTATTTGAAGCATGCTGTGTGCTGCCGTGTTGTATACTACCGGTAGTAAATATATTTGTGTTGCTGCAGTACTTTCCAAGATGCGTGACGTTCCAATTGCGGTACAGTCGGCGGTCCTCACTAGCGGTGGGTAGTGACCCGAGGTTTTGGTGCCGTTTTTCAGGGCAGCACCGCTATTGCGAAAGCGACTGTACTGAGAGATGCATTTGTGCCAAGCGAGTTCGGTACGGTTGTTTAGGGCATTCCGCTATTCAGGGCACCGCTATGGAGGACCGCCGACTGTAGTCGGGAACGATAAAACGGCAGCAATCATTAATACCTCCACCCCAACCCTGATCCGACCCACGGATGCTTCGTTTGCAACTTTTGTCGGAGGTGAAGCCGCAGCGCCAAATCCCTCCATTCGAACCGTGATCTGGAGTATGCCCGCCCAACCCACGCACAGGTGCAAGACATGCTCAAGGGGGAGACGGACGAGGACGGGGGCAAGGGCGGCCGCGCCCTGGCCGTGCAGGACGTCAACGCGCCCGCCGAGTACGTGTGGGACCGCATCCTCGACTTCGGCAACTACAACAAGATGGCAAGTGACGGCAGCGAGTTTGTTGTTGTTGTTGTTGTTATTGTGCCAACAAAAAGTGGGTGCCGTTTGTTTTTGCCCAACCGCCGCGTCACCCTTCTTGGCTTGATTGAGTCTCGCCTGGCGACGCATGTCCCCCCCCTCGACGCGGTTCGTGTCTTGCCGTATTCTTTGCTGCTGCAGTCGCGTGCCGAGTATTCCGCGCTTGTGAAAAAAACGATAATATCGCGGGGGAAAAGGAGAGTCTTGTGTGAATCTACATGGCTGGTGCGAAATGCCGTCCGTGCCTGGGAACGCCCCCCCTTGTCGTGCTCTTACGTTTCCTGTCTTGCGCCCCCCCCCCCCCCCCCCCCACGTTAGGTGCCCAAGGTGACGGAGTGCAAGAACTACGAGACAGAAACGCTGAGGAATGTGAGTGTACCACTGGGGGCGTAAGCAGAACTGCAGTAGCACCAGGTGTAGAAGAGCCGAGGCCGTGCGGACACACGTGAGAACAAATAATCATGCTCTCCATTCAAATCATGAAAAAAGGTAAAAGAGCTGGGGTGAACCCGTCCTCGCGAAGTATCATTTTTTGTGGCGGTGGAAAGAGCGAGGTTCAAGAAGTACTCCTTATAGCCTTGCCTTCTCGTTGGAGATTTTTCTTTTGCCTGTCCATTACCCCTCCTCTTCCCCCGACCCCCCCCTCTGTATCTTCCTCCCTCCCGCGTCCTATGAAATGTCTACTTATCTTTCTGGTCACACGCGAACCCATACAGTAAAAGACGCCGCTTGTGCAGCAAGCCACCCACGAACCCATACAGCAAAAGACGCTGCTTGTGCAGCAAGCCGCGCGTTCTTCTCCCCCTACTCCCCCTCCGCTTGCCTCTCGTCGCAAGATCGTACACTGTTGCTTGCATCGTATAGTGCTTGGTCCCTTGGATTCTTGTTTTTGAATCCCCACGCACCCCCTCCCCTCCAACGTCTTCCTAGTTGTTCGCCGAGGCCCTGAGACTGCCCGCTAACGGCCGGAAGCTCTTTAGACTTTGCGGACCCCGTGCACCACTCCTGCCGTACATGAGACAAACATGACTCCCGATTTTCTCTACTGAACGCCCTCTCCCCCCCCTGCCGTTGACGCCGTCATTTCGCAACCGACTATCTCTCTCCCGGCGGGTAGGGCACCGAGATCATCAAGACAAACCTCAAGCTCAACGTGTTCGGGGTGAAGCTGAACAGCTTCTTCTACCACACGTACTTCCCCTCCAAGAGTTCCATGACGTGGACGCTCGACTACACCAAGAAGAGCACCCTCGGTGTGTGAATGCAGAGAGTGCTCCTGATACTGCTGTATACGGGGGGTGAAATTTGAAATTACTGAAACGTTCCCGTCGTTCCTTTTTCGTTTTTGTTGTTGTTGCCCCCACTGCGAGCACGCTTCTTTCTCTCCAAGCACGTGCACGGCAAACGAAACTCTCGGTGTTCTCCCACGCGATCATTGTTATTGTTCATCGTATTTTTGCTGTTCGGGTGAGTTGTGGGTGCCGTACGCACGGCCGTACGTCCCCGTGATCTTCCAGAGGGGGGACGTCTCGATCCAGGTTCCAGCGCGAAAAATGCCGTTTGTCTCGTACGAGAGGAGGTGAATTCCCTCGATTTTCGCACGCTGCTGCTACCCCTGCTGCAGCAGCAGTATCATGCGGCACATCACCCTCAGACCGCACCAAGCCGCGTGGGAGGTGCTCCGATGGTCTGTCTCCCAGGAAGAAAACCCACTGTCTGTACATGTATGTATGTAGCACACCAGGGGGTATGCCAAATGTGTGCTCGTGCTACAGAGCATTCTTACACATCGTCGTTGATCTATTCGTCCCCGAAAAAGGGTACTAGACCCGTTCGTCGCCCCTCCCTCGTGACCGCTGACGGCGTGTGCGTGATCCATGGTGAACCCCCCTCTCTCGCAAATGATGTGTCTGGTTTGGCACAGCGAACGCAACGGTCGGTGGTGATGACCGGGTTTTCTGGTTGAACCCTTGTGAAATGAACCTTGGGGCGGCGAAAAGCCATAGCTCCGTCCCGGCGTTGTAGGGATGCGAGGTCTGCGCCCTACCGACCACGTCATGCGTTTTCCATTGTTACACCCCTTTCGCAAACCCAGTCCCACGCCTTTCTCCGTCTCCGCCAAGCTTGACACGCTGTCCCCCCCCCCCCGGTCCTTGTTTTGCACCGCGTGTGACTGAATAACCAGATGATTCCGTGGGTTTCTGGCACGTGGCGACTCACCCGTCCCAAGACAAGCAGGCCGACTGGTCCCGCGTGTACTACTCGGTCCAGCTCAGGATCCCGAGCTGGATCCCCGGCATCGTCATCGGTTACCTGAACAAGAAGGCCATTCGGGAGGTGGGGTTGAAGAGAGCGCCGCTTGCTCTTGCCCCGCTCGAGCGCGCGTGTTTGTGGAGTGAAAAAGAGTTTTGCGCTTGTTTTGTTCTCGTGTTGTGTACCTCGTGTGTGGTCTGCGTTTGCTGCGTGCTGTTTGTTTTGTACCGCTGTGCATGTGTGTGTGTAGAGTGAGGAATTTTGTGTGCATTTTTTTCTCATCTTGTGTGTCTCGCGTGTGCTCTGCTTTTACTTTTACCGCGTGTTTTTTGTTTTTGTTTTTGTGTGTGAGCGCGCGCGTAGCACACCTGTGCCTTTCCGATCACGACCCTGACCGTAGTACTCCATCAAGCATGCCCAAAATCAAACCCCACCGCTATGGGCACGACCCACTGATAACCATCCAGGGCGCGCCTCGAATTTTTCTCTCTCGCTCCTCCTCTCGTCCAGAACCGTCCTCTCATACATACTTCTAATAAAGTACTTATTTTTTTCCGGCATGGCATCTTCGCACTTGCGCGAAAACAAAAACAGGCCACAACCTGGGTGAAACGCGAGAGCGAGGAGAAGTACAAGGCGGATTTCGCGGCCGGAAGAACCCTAGGGGGAAAGAAACCCGGCGCCGTGGGGCTGCCCGGTGGGTGGGGCGCGGCGTTGAGCGGCCTCGGGTCTAAGACGGGGTCGAAGGAGGGCGGGGGGGGGTGGATGCCCAGCTGGATGAAGGCGGCGGAGCCCGAGCCGGAGCCAGAGCCGGAACCTGAGCCGGAGGTGAGCTAGGGGGGGTACCGTAAGAGAGATGGTAGCCCCCCCAAATTGTAGAGACCGATTTTCAAAGCTCGATTGCTGCGCAACCAAGGTATGTGTTGTGCCAACACCGGAGAGATGTCGGTTTTGGAGGAGATGTCGGTTTTGGAGGACATCTCGTCGAGGGCTTTTTTTTCGGGCTCTTTTACGCACCCCCTTGGTTGTGGAGCAATCGAATCGACCTTTGAAAAGTCCGTCTAGGGAGGGTACCATCTCTCCGCCTCTTTCGGAATACCACGGTACGGAATACGGTACGGTAGACAATCTTGTTTGTGGAGCAATCGACCTTTGAAAAGTCGGTCTAGGGAGGGTACCATCTCTCCGCCTTTTTCGGAATACCACGGTAAGGAATACGGTTCGGTACAGACAATCTTGGTTGTGGAGCAATCGACCTTTGAAAATCGGTCTATAGGGCGGGTGGAAATATCTCCGCCTCATGTTGGTGTCCAGGGTGGTGGATGGTTGTGGCGATTTGAGAGGTTTTTAAGTATATATATACGGAAATATTTGATTTTGTGGGCGGGTTGGGGGGTGCGGTGGATTTTCGGGCGATCCGACTGTTCGCCAAACGCGGGGCTGCCGCGTGTCCTTGAATTCCACGACGGGCCGGTTGGGTGGGTGGCATGAGACCGAGCTTGAGACGTCGCGTGTCGACCTGTGTAGGGCACCAGGTGTCACGGTTGTGGTTTGGGCACCAAGGCTTGTTTGCGCTGGCGGGTCGGGGGGGGGGGAGGATTCTGGACTGTATTGTATAGGATGGAACACCACGGCGACGAGTGTCCTCTCAATTGTTGGAGCTCGCTTGGCGGAAGAGGGCTGTGCTAGTAGAAGCGGTGCTGCACACGACACGCGCCTTTAAAATTTGTGGTGGCGAAATCCGCTCCGCC